CTGATTGGCACAGGTCAGCAGTGTTACATTTACAAATAAAAAAAACAACTTTATTTAGTCTATATTCACAATTACAAACATGTCAGGGCTCTTGGTCATGTATGTAAAGAGAAGTACAGTAAGTCCCCTGCTACTTCGTGGACTCGTTCTTTCACGGTTTTTCAAAGTAAGATTGTACACGACACACGATTGTCAACTTTAATATCACTCACGTGACTGGGATGGTACTGGACACTGTACAGTAAAAAGTTAACGAAATATACTTCGGACAGGGGCTGCCATTTTGTAGTTTTCTCTCAATAAGCCTATACTGTGTCGCCACGCATATTAAATGTCAGAAATTATTCCGATAAACAATAATGTTGTTTGAAATTTGGCAATAATTAATTATTGTCAAATTTAAGAAGAAATGTTGGTTAATTTTTGTGTGTACTACCTTTTTTGATCACTGGATGGCAGTATAAGACTGTTTGAACCAAAGGATGGATGGTGAGGGAGCGAGCAGAGTGTCTCTTTAAGAAAAATGGGAGGGAGGCCCCTCGACATGACATGGACTGTCTCTCTTTCCTTTGTTTCTGTCACGGTCAGCGGCCCCCGCTGCCCCCCCATCTGCCAAGCCTCTGCCACCTCCTTCAAGCTGCAACCAGAAACCAACATTTATATCTTCAAACTATCATCCCACAGTCTTAATCATTTCCTTCTATTTCAAGTTTCTGTCTCTGTCTGCTTTTTATATTTTTTATTGTTCTGCTTTGTGTGTGATTTTCTGTTTATCTGTTTCTGTTATGTTCCTCTCATTCCTCAGTCTGCTTCTCCACTCAGTCTTTATCATTCACACCTGTCCCTCATCAGCCACTTGCCCAGGTGCTCTCATTACTAACTCTCCCTCTGTCACATAAAAAGCCTCTCTTTCCTTCACTCCTTGTCCGGTGATTGTTCTATGTTCTCAGACTTCACAATCCTCTTCTGCCTTGCCTGGTTTCTGCCCCCCTGATGATCTGCTCTGCATTATTTCTGATCCAATCTGCCAAAAGTAAGTTTTGCTGCACCGACAGCCTTTTGTTTTGTTGTTTAAAAAATAAATTGTTTTGGTTTTTTGAACTCCTGCCTCACTCATCTCTCTGCAATTGGGTTCCAACATTGAGGTTCGTGACAGTTTCGGTTCTCAAAATGGCGGACGCTCGGCAGCCGCCCTTTAGCATAGCATTTGTTAAACAAAGCTTTTAATAAAAATCAGTAAACAAGTTTTCAGCTTCTTTTTGCAGAGAAAAACAACTCGAGTTTTTACACGAAGGCACGGGTTTCAACCGTGAATTTTGAAGCTTTGACAAGATTAAGTTTGTTTTCCCCGAGGTCTGACTGTTAGCTTAGCTCGTAGCTTACCTTCTCAGCTTAGCTGCTTTTAACGATTCAAAAAACACGATTTTGGACGGTTAAAACAGATTTTAAAGAAAAGAGAAAAAAGAGAAAGGGAGGGGTCAGTGAAGAGCACCGGAGCTGAGCTTTTTGTCATCTAGTGTCTTGTGTAGAAGGAGAGAGACACGAAGAAACGATAAAGCCGATAAATGAAAATAAGGTAGATGATTTTCATTTATCATGCGATTAATTGATTTATTGTTTATTGCGACAAGCCTAGGCGCCATTGACCCCCGTGGCCCGAAAAGGAAGAAGTGAGTAAAGATGATGGATGTGTTGCCACTCAAAAAAAACTACATTTCCCAGAAGCCACTGCTTCCAGCCATTGCTTTCTGCTAAATTGGAGAGAAAGTTTTGTTCCGATCCGAAAAAGTTTGGTCCTTATTCAATGATTTTGGCGCTCAGTGGATGCAGAGAGTTGTATGAAACTGACGGGGAATTGGACCAAATCCGAACGTCCAGACTCATTGCTCAATCTGAGTGCTGCTTGCTGGCCCATGAGGCCTCTCGAACAGGGAGGCATTGCTTGTAGGTCCAGTGTTTTTTCCGGAGCTCACCGGGACTTTTTTCATCCGGATTTGGACTCGATCGGGACCATTGTGTAGTTTTGTGTCTGCCTTTCTCCAAAAGCGTTTTGGTGCTGAAGGGCTGCACAGAGCTGATCAAAACCAGACCAGAACCGAGCCGTTGTGTTCTGCAGAGCTGGTGAGTAAAATGTTGTGATTTGGCGATATATAAATAAACTGAATTGAATTGAAATTTTGATCCCATTCCACAACTAAAACTATTTTTAGAGGTGCATTCCCTGCAAAAAGGCCAGTTTTCAACCACTTGTCATCTTGTATCATCTTGGAAAAAACCTTGATGAGATCAGAAGCTGTTCAGTCCTAAAGAAACATAACAACCCCAAACCGTGACACTTCCACTGCCGTGCTTTACAGTTGGTTTG